TGTAGGGAAGGAGCTTGAATGAGTCTCCACATGTTTCCAAGAAATCTCTGAGTCAGGGCTGCTCTGTTTCTGGAGAAGGCTTCCCTTCCCAGAAGGGCCCGCACAGCGGTCCATGGCTTGCACTGGTGGCTCTGAGTCATCTGAAGGGCTTTTCTGTTGTTGTTACTACTTCTCTTACGGAACGGTTCAACTTCCAGAGCCTTTGGTAAAGTTCCTGTTCCTGTGCAGTGAATCTACCTCAGTGCTCTGCTAGCTGGGCTGTGGCAGCTCCTGTCCCCCATGCCTGCTTGGCCTGGGGTCTGCCCTGCCAACGTGCCCTGTAGTTCCCCAGCCAGTGACTCCACTTCAGGCCTGCCTGATCCAAACTCCACCTCTTGTTGGGGAGCCTTTTCTAATGGGAATTGAGCCTCTGTCCCTGAGAGCACTGATGACTCGGGTCTGAGCTGTCACTGCCCGGGTTTGCCCGGGCAAGGCGTGTAGCAACACTCCAGGATTGCTGCTTCTCACAGTGACACCAGCCTGCTCCTTCCCATGCTGGGGAGCTCGACCATACTGGAGTTTTTATTTCTTTAATGTCAGTACTCATGTAAGTTTTTAGGTGGCGTCCAACATAACTTCTTGTGAGCTGGAATTTGCCATGAGCCAGGCTTAAATGTGATCTTTGATAAGTTGTCACTGATAAATACTACCCAGTGTGTTATTTAGGTGATGAAAGGTGCAGCCTGGTACTGCTCTTTAGCTTCAGTTTGGCAAAAGCTGAGGCCTGCACTGGCTTTGAGGAGAGTAGATGGGCCAGGTGGGATGCAAACCTTTGGAGCAGGTCTCCAGCTTCATCCCAAATGCTGCAGCATTTGTCTCCTGGGGAGAAAGCAGGGCAGAAGTGCTGCTGCTTTGGGCAGCAGGTCTTCTCTCCGGGGTGGGAGGTGGGAAATTGGGGAGTGTGGAGCAGCACTGTGCTTCCCTTGTGCCGTGGTGGTCTGAGCCTGGTGCTGAGGGCGTGGGGAGCAGTGACTCAGTGGTCCTGGGCACAGGCCCAAGCAGCAGCCCACGTCCCCGTCGTGTTTCCAGGTGAGGAGTTATGGGTTTCGGGCACTGGGGCGAGTGGGTGCAGCCACAGCACAGCTCCTCGGGCTGCCCCTGCCACACCCACACTCCCGGAGGTAGATTTCCTCTAGCTGTGTCAGCCCCCTGCTGAAGGAGCTTGTCCAACAGCCCCGAGCTTCCAGCAGGCACTGGTGGGCTCCATCCCCTGCTGGTTCCAGCTGCCAGCTCATCCCAGTGCCATCGTGCAGGGCCCGGCTGGCTTGTGGCAGTGGGGCAGGGCCACAAGGGCTCTGCCTGTCCCGCCAGGGAGCATAAACACCAACTCACTCCTTTTGTCCCCTTGCTGCAAGATAAAACAACCGAAAGTGTTGCGGAGGCTGTATCAGCTGCTCCAGTGTCTTAACTAGTTTCTGTGCTGCTGAGTAATCCTGGTAACGCCCCAAAGGTACTGGGTTTTTTTTTCCTGCTCCAGCTGTTGGCCACGGCTGCTGGACTGCAGGACCTGCTTGTTCTTTAATCTGAGATGAAAAGCTCCATTTCCTTCTCTCTTGTTTTCTTTTGTTGTTATGCTGGGCACTGGAACATCATCTGGTAATTTGGGAATTAGACAATTTCCTGAAGCTACATAATTAAAAGATGCATCTAGGTCTCTAAATTATCTATGAAAGTCATAGCACAGTAAGAAGCTTTAGACACTTCTCCTGTAGGAGGTTTGATATGTTGCATGTATCACATTAAAATCAAGTAATGAATTCTTGTGCTAGACCTGTGACTTTATTGCCTGTGTGAGAGAGACCAGACCATTTTTGTTACAGATGGTGGCACGGGGAGTGGGGGTGGTCTGGCTCAGCTGGTACAGTTTGGGGTTTGGGGTGGTGGACCCACCACATCAGTATCTAACGGGACCCCCCAGCTCGCTCTGGGTCCCGCTCCAGGTCTGAGCACTAAGGGCTGCTCTTGCCTTGGCTTTCCACTTCAGTCATTTTAAGCTGGCCAGTTTTTTATGGCTTTTGTCTAGAACTTACAGCTTGTTCTTCCAGGATGTAGTCCAGCTGTTGGTGTCTGAGCAGTACCAGCTTTGTATGGGGAGTACTTCAGCAGTGAAGCCCCTTGAAATCAGAGCTGTGCATCAGCCCAGCTCCAGCCAAGGTTAAATGGGTTTGCAGGCAGGAAACAGCCGCTGGCTCAGTGGGGCTGGGGGGCTCCTGCATTGCTGTGCTTGGTTTAAGATTTCCATTAAACCCTCTCAAAATCCTGTTCTTAGGCCTATGCCTAGTGCTTGCCACTCCTCTGCAGGAGGCTTACACAAGTTGGTCCGTGTCCCTTTGACCAGTTTCCTTGCTCTGTTTGGGGTTGCACAATGCACAGAAAAGGGAACAGTCTTCCTGCTTTTTTCACAGCAGCTGTCCCTTTGCTCTGGGACTTCCTTCCATCCACCCATCCCTCCTTCCAGCCTCGGAGGAATCTCAGGCGCTCACATGTGAATGCTCTGGGTGCTGCTGAGGGCTCGGGAGGGTTTTGTGGGGTTCTGGGGCTCTGCTGCCTGGTGATGCTGCAGGGACTGAGTAGGGAGCAGGGAGATTGGGTGGATGGTGCTGTGAGCACTGAGTTTATATCTGTGCTTTTCTCACTTGCTTTGTGAGCATTCTGTGTCAGAGCTGCAATATTTAAGCCAGTATAGAATACCAGTGTATTTACTGGCAAAGGAAAGCAGCTTGGATTAACAAATGTGTAACACGTGCAGTATCTGAGGGTTAAATTGAGCATCTGGAAGTGTTCAAGGCCAGGCTGGATGGGGCTTGGAGCAACCTGGTCTAGCAGGAGCTGGCCCTGCCCATGGCAGAGGGGTTAGATTAGGTGGTCTTCAAGGTCCCTTCCAACCCAAACCATTCTGTGATTCATGTGGTAGATTCAATTCTAGAGCGTCTGATTTAAACCCTGAATTTCTCCTTTTTCATGGGACCAGATGAACTGTTAAGCAGCACTGAACTTAAGTTGAATTAGTTTGATTATTTTTAAGAGGCCAGATATAAATTGTAGGGAGGAATTACCTTGCAGTGGGGATTTGATAAGAATAAAATTCAATTCATTCTTCTTTGTGTTTTGCAGAAATTGTTCTGTTGGATTCCAGGCTGTAAGGATTAAATATTGCTTCCAGTGGTGCAGATTGTGTTGTGGCCCCGTTGCTACCTTGGGTGTGTTTAAGATACTGTTAAAACCAGGGAAGGGAGCACCCTGTGGTGAGGCTGCAGCAGAGACTGTTCCTGCTCTGGAGGTCTGTCTTGCGTCACAAAATGCCTGGAGCTCGTTGACACTTGTATTTGTCTTGCTGTGCAAGGCCATGCATCTGTGACTCGTTGGGGACTGAACTTGCAGAGCCCTTTTATTCTCTCCCGTGGTAGCAGGAGCTTCAGGTCCCTTCTGAGCCACGCCCCGTGCAGGTGTCTGGAGCTGCAGGAGTTCTGGTGCATGCCACGTTATCGTAATCAAGAACAATCCAGAACCACAGCATCAAGTGTATCTCATTTCACATTACAGAGTCCTCGACCTTTCGACCATCCAGCCTTCTCCAGGGTGATGACTCCTGTCTCCTGAGACGTTGGAAAACCTAGTTTGGAAGAAGAATACAGATACAGTTGATGCTGAACTACGTGAGTCCTCAGATTGTTTTGTTTACGATAACGCCGTTGGCACCAGCGATCCCCATCCGGCCGGGTTGCACAACCCCCATTATCTCAGAGTTTCTGTGCAGTGGGGTTTCTCCAGTGGAAATGTTACTCACACGTTTCCAGCAGGGATGACGATGTTGCAAGGAGTGGAGGATTTTATGAGGCGCAATCAAAGATTAGGTCAGGGATGAGGCATGAAGAGAATGAGCAGCATATAGGGTTTGGGACTTTGTTCTGTTCAGCTGGCTGGGCCTGCTGACTCTTCTCTGCTGAGGTTTGAGTGCTGGTGAAAGCTGGTGGTGCAGGGATGCAAAGTCTGCTTCGAGACCTGCTGTATCTCTCTTGCCATCTCTGATCTCGGTGACAGGTACTGCTGGATGAATTAATGCAGTGAGATCACGCTTGTATCCACAGAGGGTGGGACTGCCAGAGGGTAAACTTCATTCAAAGTGTGGTGATTTATCAGTCTCTTACATGGTGAAACACTGGGGCTTTTAAAAAACAAATAAGTACAACTTAAAAATATTTTCCCAGTCTGCTGTAGTAACCTCTTAGGGACTACTGGGGCTTGGCTTTGACTTTCTCAGAGTAAGAAAATGGCTCTGTGCTCCCTCCTCTCTCCCACACACCCCCTCCCCAAAAATAAAAACCTTCGGAGTGTTAGAACACGAGCTTTTAATCTCTAGATATTTGTGAAAGTCTTCAAAACTATTTTCCAAGAGATAAAGGTGAAGAGCAGAGGTACTGGAAACAAACTTTGGTTTGGTGGAGCTGATTTGCACTTGCAGCGAGTGTGTGAAGGCCTGGCAGCAAACACAGGCAGCTCTTCTGCTGAGCTGAAACCAGACTCTCCTTTGGGGAAGAAGTGTTTTAGTCACAAAGGCTTGAATTTATAAGTAGGAGTTAGTCAAGCTTTTAGTTGTTTGTGCTGAATTGTAGTGATGTGAGGACTTTGAATAAGTGCTTGGATGCAAAGCATGAGATTCACATTCACTAGGTGGAGGCAGGGTGGTGGTGCAAGAGATGTGGGCACTGGCACCACGCTGCTTCCTGCCTTTGGAACAGCCATTAAAGGCAGGTAACAGTGTGTTAATTCCCAACAAAGCATCAATTCCTGCACTTGGAGGCTGGAATGATAGCTTTATATGTTGGACTCCAAACTGCAGCTGTGTTGGATGTAGATAGATGGAAATGTAGTGGGAAGGTTAGAGCCTGGAGAGGTATAAAGAGGGGGGGCATTATTTTAAGACCAAACTCACTTTTTTGAAAAATATTGTTAGATTAACTCAACCTCACAATAACTAGCTCGTTTCTGTCTCCTGTGCCCTTGCTGGAAAAGGTGGCAGATGCTGTTCATTTTGCTGGTCAGTTAGCTTTGTGTGTCCTTGGATGTTTGAGGAGCAGACCTGAGCTAAACAAGTTCTGGGAGAGCTGGTGTGGAGCCTGGTGGGACGTCCTCTGTGAGACATCCATGCAGAGGCAGAACTGGGGCATTTTCTTTCAGAGTTTTTTGAAATATGTTAATTTGCAAACTTGTTTTTGCTGTAAAACAAGCTTTACTTATTTTGACTTGTTCCCACTATGTCTCTCAGACAACTGTTGTAGGAAATGTTGCTTTGGGTAACGAGGCTGATTTGTACCTTCAGAAACACATTAAGCCTCCAGCCCACAGCAGGGCTATCACTAACGAGCTGTGGCTTTTCTGCAGAAACACAAGTGGGCAGAGACATGAGAGCATCAGTAGGTGAAAGCCTTGCAGTACAAAATAAGGGATAGTGTGGGGAATTAACTCTGTTTCTCATCAAATGTGATCTCCTTTCTCTTTCAAGAGCCGAGGATGAAGCGGCGAGCATCAGACAGAGGAGCTGGGGAAACATCCACTAAGGCAAAAGCTCTTTGTGCAGGGATTTCTGGAAATAATGCCAAGAGAGCTGGGCCTTTCATACTCGGTAAGCAGGGAGGGTTTTCTTCTGCAGTTTTCAAGGTAGCTGCTGATTGCAAAACTGAAAATAAAGGGTGCTATAAAACGAGGCAAAGCAGGGGTGTAATTTAGTGTCTCACCTCAGAGTGAGACACAGTTTGCTTGGTGTAGCAGGGCAGCAGCCCTTGGAGCTTCTGCAGCCAGGCAAGCTGAGATGTGTAATACCAGCACAGCCAGGCAGGCATGGCAGTGGAGATCAGTCTGAGCCCTTGCTTTTACCCTTGGTTGTTCTGGTTGGTTGGTTTGTTTGTTTTTAACTACATTCTTAAACCTTAAGAGCCAATTCATTCAGGGGGTTTTCTGGCTAGAGCCCCAGTGAGATGTTCAACCCTGCTTGCCTGGAACATGCTGTAGGCATTTTAGTAACACGCTAGTGGTCGTTACAAGTGAAATGTGCCAAGGCAAGAGCAGTCTGCCAGCTTCTGAGAGTTGCTAGAATGGTTGTCAGTTCAGAACTACTTACATAAACTGTGAAAAACATCAGGGGCTTCACGGTGGGAACCAATGGATAATCAATTGGAAGCTGATTTAAACTGGAGAGTGGAGACTGTGTGTTAACCTGAAACTCAGACTGACCTGTGTACCTGAGCCATCCCTGCAGAGGTGGCAGCTGGGCTCAGAGGTGTGGCACCAGCAGTTGCCATGGGTGTTGCTGGTAAATGTAACAGCCCTACGGTTCAGGCATGCAGAAATTTGAATTTCTGAAAACAGCTGGGCCGTGTGTGGGCTTTGGTTAAATGTTTCTCTAGTGAACAAATGAAAGAATGTCCAAAAAGGTTTCAGAGCTCAATACCTTTTTTTTTTTTCTTTAGCTGGTAATTTGTGGAAAAGCACTTAGTCTCCTGAAAAAAGGGAACTTAAATGAGTGTAAACTGCGTGGCACTTGCAGACTGATGTAACCCTGAATTAGTCATTGCTGCTTAAAGGAAAACAAGTCTGTTTTTGCTTTGTGCTGCTAGGTCCACGTTTAGGTAACTCCCCTGTGCCAAGTATTGTTCAGTGTTTGGCAAGAAAGGATGGGACCGATGACTTTTACCAGCTGAAGGTAAGCAGACTGCAGAGGTCCCAGACCCCGGGGGCTCTGGGAGCGTGGCTGCTGTGGCAGAAGCCCTCGAGTGCCTGTGCCATGGGCTGACCCCGTGTGCCACCAGAGGTGGCTCTGGAGCCTTCCCTCAGCAGGGCAGTTCTGCCAGGTGTACATCTGGTGTTGAGATGGGCCTTCTGTGCCTGCTGTGCTGCTCTCCTGGAGCCCTCTGATCTGCTCCACTGTGCCTGAAACAGGAGTGGGTCCAGTGGGAAGGTCACTGGGATATTTGCAGGAAGTCACCTGAGCAGTGTTTGTGCTGGTGGAGCTCGTGCTGTGTGCTCTGCACAGATCTTAGTTCAGACAGGTTTGTGGCGAGGATGCAAAGAGCAGAGCAATTGCATCAGCTGCTAGACACATGTGAATACCCACAATGCAAAAGCTTTGGAGGCATTTGGTTTATCTGGGAACTGTAAAGGTCTTTTCCCTTTTCCCAAAGATTCTCACCTTAGAAGAAAGGGGTGACAAAGGAATAGAAACCCAGGAGGAACGACAGGGCAAGATGCTGCTGCACACTGAGTATTCTCTCCTTTCCCTGCTCCACAACCAGGAGGGAGTGGTGCATCATCATGGGCTCTTCCAGGTACGGCTGGTCACTGTCCAGGCTGGGGAGTGCCAGCCCTTGCTGGTGCCTTCAGCTGCTTTTGTTTGCTGTATGGTTTGTGCTGACCCCCTTCTTGTGTTTAAGCAATTACCAGCACACTGCTGAGATGAACCACTGCTGCTTCAAGCACACGTGTGGTGGGGGCTTCTGGGGGTTAATTGGGATGTAGTGGGTTTGTGATTTGGAAAATGTGAGAACATTCAGAGCTGGGACAGGCACTCAGTGTCCCCTTCAAACAGGAGAAAAGCCACTTCACCGGTGATTGAATTTGTGTCCACAGAGCACCCTCTTTGTGCTTTCCAATCTCTGTACTGCTTGATAGCTTCTGAGAGGGGACAGACTGCCAGGGAACTGTTTCAGCAAGTTGCACTAGTCAGTGTGCTGATCCATGTCTGGTGTGAGTGAGCTGTGCTGCTGCTGCCTCCGGAGCCCACTGTGGCTGTGATGGGCTGAGGGCATCACTGCTTTGCATGTTGGTGTTGCCATGCTGCTCGTTAAATTTTGTCAGCAGCTTTCCCACTCGAGGCCATCTGTACTACATCTTAAATAAGCCAAATGTCCAGCTTGGCTGTGTCCTGTTTAATGGTCTGGAAGAATTGCTAATTGTGTCTAAGACTTGTTCTTCACGTTAACAGCCCCTTGGATCCCTGGATCCACAGTGTCTGTACCACACTGTAGGGTTTTTCTAGGCTTCATCCAAAGGTGCCTGTGTGTATATAAACAGTGTCAGAGCTGGTAGACACTCGTAGCCAAACAGCACAGACTTTCTTGGGCTTCTTCAAGTAGAGATCATGTATTGTCTTTCTGAAATCCCAACTCAGGGCAAAGGTGAAGCGCTTTGGTTGCATTTGCTTCTTTTGGGGTCACCATGTATTTAGTTATTCTCTAGTACTGTGTATGTCAGTCCATGTGCCCAGAGAGCTTCCCTGAACTGTTACTCATTTGTTTGCCTCCCTATAGGACCGAGCTTGTGAAATTATAGAAGATCTAGAAGCCAACAGAATGGTCAGAAAAATGAAGAAGCGCATTTGTCTGGTGTTAGACTGTCTCTGTGCTCATGATTTCAGTGACAAAACTGCAGATCTGATCAATCTGCAGCATTATGTCATTAAGGAGAAGAGGCTCAGCGAGAGGGAGACAGTGGTGATATTTTATGACGTGGTACGAGTGGTGGAAGCATTACATAAGGTGAGACCTTTGTTCCCCCTTTCAGCACTGGAAGGGACACTTTTCCCACATCAGTACAATAGCTGTTTGAAAACTTCCTTGTGCAGGGTAACAGGATGGAGGCTTCAGCAGTTTCCCTGTAATAGTATCTGGGTAAGAGGCCATAAAAGAGCATTCTCTGCCCTCCCCTCGGGTTTCTCCATCATAACATAGTGTTTGTTGACTGTGGAGAGGGGCCAGCTGGAGGAGATGCAGATCAGGTGAACCACAGTGTTCTAACCTCAGAAAGGGGTGGTGGAAGGGGAGAGGAGAGGCTAATCAAATACAGGAAACACTTCAAGCTATTTCCTTTTGAAACAAAGTAAATCACAATGTAAGAATTGCTTTATGAGATCAGAACCTCAAGCTGCAAGTTTGAGATCAATGAACTAGAAATTATTGTAGCAAAAATAGATTCTGCTGATGCTTCACTTCTTACCCCGTGACAAGGGACAGCCATCCTTCCTTGGCAGAGCAGGGGAGCATGCAGCTTTTGGGGGAATGGTCGTCATACTGGCCTTACTGGGCCTGGACTTTTGGGTCTTTTAGGTTCAGTCAAGTCTGTCCTTGTGTTCAAAGTAGCAGATTTGCTTGTTCTGACCTTCTGAGCGGAACCAAAAATGAAGGGCACAAAGTATCCAGGATGCAACCTTGAAACCCTGATCTGTTGTTTCTGAGAATTAAAGATGGCAGGATTTCAAAGAATACTTTGTGCTTTTGTGCAAGTATTGAATTTATACCTCTATAACAAATATGCTTTTGCTCATGTTTTGCTATTATATATTTTACAGAAAAATATTGTGCACAGAGACTTGAAACTAGGAAACATGGTGCTAAACAAAAGGTGAGTCTGCTGGAGAGCTGCTCTTCTGGCAGTTGTCTGATGTTCCTTCCCTGAAGCAGTTTTCTGTTAGGAACACGATCACAGGCAGCACTCCTTGAGAGAAGGGTGAGGGAGCTGGAAGCAGGCAGCACAAAAATTCAAACCCAGCTCAAAGTCACATTAGTTAATCTCCAAAAACTGAGGCCCACCTAGATAGTTCACTCCTCCACCAAGCGTAGTGACCTCACATCAGCACTTCTTTTTGGAGTCTAACCTCTGGAAACTAAATCTTACAGTAATTCAGAAACCTAGAAAAGAATGGTTTCTTTAAGAGGATTAAAATGTGTTAAGTGGTTCTGTTCACATTATTCACTTCCCCTGTGTGAAAGCGATTCCCAGCGCTGCAGTCTGTGCTATAATCACAGCAGTGTTCAATCTTTTACTGTTGCACTGCTGTGTTTTTGCTAGCTGTAAACTATTTACTTATCTAAACAAAAGTTCTTCTGTCTGGTTGGTGTTTGTGCTTGAAGTAGCTCCCCTGCTCCATTTGCTGCCTTGCATCAGGCCTCAGTTCCTCACACCCCGGTGTCCGAGGTGTCTCAGAGGCTGTGCAGGAGTGGGAGAGATTGACACCCCCTGGAGCTGAGCGAGTGGCCTCGGTGGGGCAGGAGGTCAGCACAAGCAAGAGGCAGCTGGTGGTGGCTTCTGCTTTGCTTGGTGGCTCCTTGGAGTGATTTAGTTGTCCTGGGTTGTGTGGTTATTTAGCTGGCAAGCTGGTTCCAGTTCAGATACTCTGCCGCGTCCTTCAGCGTTAGATTACTAGCTAAATATTTTGCACTAACTTTAAGAATGAGTGGAATTCATTGTCTTTTCACACTGTCTGGTTTTCTGTGGAATGAATATAAAACTGGAAGGCTTTAGGTCTGCAGGCTTCCAAAGTCTGTACAAAACATGCAAGGTCACTGTGGTCACCACTTGCTTCTTTCTCCTCCCTAGTACTGTTTAAAAGCAAACAGATTTTACTGGCTGAGGTTGAACTTCTTGGTTCCCAGGTGCACATGGCAGCTGGTTCTTTTCAGGGCCACCTGTAAATTGTTTTAGGTTCTTTCTAAAGACCTGCTTTAAAATGAATCTAGCTTCTGTTTGCCTCTTTGATTTTCCTTCTTGCTAGGAGGAAGCAGACAAAGGTTGCTGCTTCAAAGGATGCCCCCAGAGTTCCCCTTCTTCTCTAGGCAAAGTGTGCAGTGGAGCATCCACTGCTAGAGCTGCACAAGGGGCCCCTGCTAGCAGGAGGGGGAGGGATGTTTGTAGCTTTGTGAACACACTTGCCAAAGTCATTTTTGGTATTACATGCTATGTTTTTGCTTTTTACTAGCAAGACCATCAGCTCTGAGGTAAATCCGTAGCCTCTACAGCAGTGAGTCATGTTGAAAGGGTGGGTGAGGCACAAGAATAGATCACCATGGAGAGGACCAGCCGCCTGGGCTGATGAGAAGTGTTTGTTCTGTTCCAGCTGTGCTCACTGAAGAGCCAGGTCTGCTCTGCTGGCAGGGGAGCAAAGGCAGCTTCATACCACTGCAAAGCCCTAACCTGGCATTTACCCCTCGGGCTAGTGAAGATCCCTCAGACATTGTCCCCTGCAAGATGTGGAAGTTAAAGCCTCACAAGTTTTTTCCAGTTAGCCAGTGCAGTAGTTGGAGGATTATAGATTAGATCAAATGTCAGTGACTGAATAAACCCAAGCAACCCTGAACATTTTAGTGTCCTTTAGAACACTTAGTCTTTGAAATCTCCAACAAATCCTGGAGATTGCTGTTCAGCCAAGGAAGTCTCCTGACAGCTGAAGCTAACACCTCTTAAACACCAGTCTGTGTTTCTTAATCAGTGCTCTGTTGCCAGCCTACGCTGGGTTTTATTTCACTTCTCTGGGAGATTTGCTGGAAGTATTTTTTGGTTGTTTTGATGGACTTAATTCATGTTCTTAGGCTCTAGTTGTGTAATACTCTTCTATAGTATTATATAGTATATAGAAATCTTCTAGACAGTGTTTTCTGTTCAGTCCTTTAGGTTGTATGTAAAAATCCAAATTATCTCAGTGATATAGAAAATCAGATGTGATGGTAATTTTGTAATGAGCTCACTTTCCCTGAAAAAAAATTAATTGAAGTTGGCAATACCATAGGGAAGTAGGGACATCTTAGAGAAATGGTGTGTACCTGCAGTTCTCTCCTTTTCTGGAGGAGAATCTGTGGGTGTTGATTAGACATTCTCTGTTCTGTGTACTTTCATGTGAAGAATAGTCCTGCAAATCAGGTAAAACTACCACCAGACTCCTGCTGTGGGACTCTCAGGTAACACAGAAGTGGTTGCACTGAATGGGATCCAGGCTGCTGTAGCTCATCTGCTGACAGTGCATGGAGGGCAGGCCTGGGGCTGTCCTCCTGCAGGGCATTTTCCCTCAGCTTCCAGAAAATGTATGGAGAAGATGCCTTAAGAGAATGGCAGTTGGAAAGTGTAGGGGAGAATCAGCTGTTAGACTTCTACTTTGGTAAGACTCATGCCTGCAGTGGTCAGCAAGCCCAGCAGTGCAGGTCATGGTGCTGTGCTGCCTGCAGGGTGCTGTTGGCTTGGCTGCTCCTGGGAGCCTGGCCAAAAGGTGGCTGCAGGGTGGGCAGGTTACATGAGCACCTTGTGCTTACAGCCACACTCACACATGCCACACAGGGTGGGTGTAGGTGTTGTCCATAGCTGCAAAAGAGATTCCTTATTGTCCCTGCAAGAGCCCTGCAAGCTGTGCTGACAGCTGTGGGATCCCTCCCTGTCAGGAGGGAGCTGATCTTAGAGCTCCACTCGTCTTTTCAAGCTTCAAGCTTCCTAAAAAGCCTGCTAAGACACACATCTCTGTTCTGGTGTTAACCCCCCCACCAGTGCTGTTTGGCTCATGCAGGCCCTTGTTCACTGATGCTTTCTCCTTCTCCCAGGACTCATCGAATAACCATCACAAACTTCTGTCTTGGCAAGCACCTGGTGAGTGAGGATGACCTGCTGAAGGACCAGCGAGGGAGCCCTGCCTACATCAGCCCAGACGTGCTCAGTGGTAGGCAGCACACTTTGCTCCTCAGGGGAAGTTCACAGCCCCACACTTGGCACTCCTTTAACTTCTTTGTGGCTCTTGACACTAAACGAAAACCATCCAGTTCTGTTCCCATATGTAACCTGCCTTCTGTGAGAGCCTCTTAATTTATAATGTTATGAGACACTGTCTGTTTTTCAAGTGGGAAAGTGTGGAAGGAAAGAGCAAGTGCAACCTTTTTCTTAAGGCTAATGTGAACTTCAGAGGTCATTAAAAGCTCCCCACCTATTCCTAAGTCTGACTGCAGACAAGATGTTCTGTTTCCCCTGTCTGAATCTTGTTCCCAAGGCTTCACTTAAGCTGCAGGTAAATCCCTCAGCCTAAGAGGCAGTCGGTCCAAATCCCACCATCATGTCAATGGTTGTACACAGAGGAGCAGTTGCTGCAGCTGCCACTTGCTTTCTGAAGGCAATTATTATTATTGACCTTCTGGGCCAGCTGAGAGGAGTTACTTATAAATAATGGAATGATCACACCAGGCCAGACCAGCAGTCTGCTCAGGCTGGATCTTGTCTCCAGCAGTCTGGCCTCTGCCTTTTCTCCAGCAGAGGCCTTAAGCAGAAGTTTGGCAAGGGACAGCTTTCCCTAATGTCCTCCTGCCTTTTAACTGTTTCCAGTGCCTGGGACTGTCAGAAACACACGTAGGTTCTGTCTCTGCTTGCTTCAGGAGGTTTCTCCTCAGTGAACTCCACGGCTGTGCTGGTTTTTGTGCTGGTGGTGGCTGAGCAAGCAGTGGGTGTCCTGTTTGTCAGGGCAGTCACCAAGGCTTCATCTAGTGGGTTTTCTTTTGGAGGTTTCTTTGCTTTTGCCCAGGTGAGCTTGACTAGAGTGTTGAAAGTCTGTCATTTTTATGTGAGGGTAGCTTCTATAGTACTGAAAACACCTCTGCTGAAGGTCAGAGTTACTTCTTCATGGTTTCCTGAATTACTGTATTTCAGAAATGCCCTCAGAGGGAGCTAATCCTGAAATTTCCAGGCCCAGTGGACTCCCCTCATTGAGTTTGTTGTCAGGTTTACAGGCAACAGCAATAAATGTAGCTGAGCTCTTCCGTTGTGATCTGCCAGGCAGGTTTGAGGCTGCTTCCCTCCTGGGCAGGACTAAGCCAGGAAGGGAGCAGAGGCAGGCAGGAGGTGTGTTTTTTGCAGGCCTTTCCTGTTCTGCAGGATATCCTGAGGCCCCTGTAACCTGATGGGTGATAGGAGCCAACTGCTCCGCAGGAGCTTGGAGCGGCTGAGGGGGCTGGTGTCTGGCAGAGGCTGCACTGAGCTGCTTCCTCCCGCTCACCCTGGGCACTGCTCTGTCCTGGACGCCACCCTGGGACCCTCCCTGCCTGCACAGCTCGGCTGTGGGCACCTGGGCTTCTCCCCAGGGCTCCCCTGGCAGTGGGCAGTCCGGCCTGCCCGTGGGCAGAGCAGGCTGGGGGGGACCCCCGGGGCACGGGCTGTGTCCTGGGCCCTGCTCCCCCTGCACTCCTGGCAATGCTGTGCTGAGCTGCCCGGGCCACAGCTCCCTCCAGGCATCGGGGGAAGTTACCTGAGGACATTCCAGGCCTCACCAGCACCCCCAGACCGAGCACCCCCGTGTGTGTTTGCTCCTGCGCAAAGGGAAGCGAGGACGCCCGAGGGGTTAGTCACTGCTTTGGGTCTCCAGGAGAAGCTGAGAGAGAGCCTGTGTTCTGTGGCTGCTGAAATGGCACTGCAGGAAAAGCTGGAGGAGGAGGGGAGAGGTGCCTTTTTTTGAGCACATAAAGCAAAGAATAATTAGTACAAATAACAAATGCTGCAGCAGTGACTCACTGTGTGAGTCAGAGGAAGTCGTTCCCTCAGCCCTGTTGGTGGTGTGGTGCTGGAGCCCAGCTCTGACCCTTGTGCATGCTGCTGCTCACCCATCCGTCGTCTGTCGCGCAGCTCCTGGG